GGCGAAAGCGAAGGTTCAAAGATCAGACCTTGAAAGCAAGGCATTGGTCAGTGTTATTTGTGAGTCTAACGGAGCACTAGCATTGCTTCTTCAATATAACTAATAAAAAAAACTTAAATGAGAAATAAACAATTATATAAATTAATGTCAAAGCTAAACTAAAAATCATATATTTTAAATTATTTAGCCCTTCAATTCTTTCACAGAAAATACAGAACAAAATATATATAATTGCTGCAAAAAAAAAACTTAATCTCTACTCTGTTTTCTATAAAAATGAATTAAGAGATAAAGAAACAGGTTTAAAGGAAAATTTGGCGATAAAATAAGATTGATCATTTCTCCTAATAATTGAAAAAAAAAACCGACTAAATTGTGTCTTAACCGATTACTATTAAAAATAGTTCTATGTGATAAAAATGAACTGGCAATCAAGTAATTATGTACTCATATGAATTCAAGCTCCTTTGGCTCAATCTCCAAAAGTTGTGTATTCATTTTCCTTCTTCAATTAGAATACAAAACGTAATCTGCATATAATAATTACTATCATACTAATTAGCAAAAACGGTAAGCTAATCCAATTTTGAATGATAGATATTGATAAAAATATTTTTTCCATAAAAAGTCGAACGAAAATTGAGTTTGACGTGCTTTGACTCAGATCAGAGTTGAAGCAACCCTGTTTGAATTCCAAACAACGATTAAGCAACGATTTCAGTTCGTTGAAACTGAGGCGAGGATATATATATTGAAATCAAATGAACAAAAAACAAGAAGATGTTTGAAAATCTTTAAAGCAGAAAACCAGATAATGACTCGGCTTCCAACTCGGATCATTTTGAGCTCAAACAAACTCGGAACAGAGTCGAGCTTCAACTCAAGAGAAACGGCAGCATTGTATTGCCATCTTTGAAAGGGATCACGAGATCGGAACTCGAGAAAGAATGAGTCAAAACGACACCGTTTTTCGGGTCTCCAGTTGCACTGAGCATGAAATTCAGTGGGAAAGTGAGAAACAGGAGAGCGAAAGCTTACCTGGTTTAACGAAAGAATCTCCGGTCAGAGACTGAGAGAGAGAGAGAGAGAGAGAATGTTGCGATCGGATTTTGGTGGTGGAAGAGATGGAAACAGAGACAAATAAAAAGGCTGAAGAAGCGAAGTGAAAGTGACAGAAGACAATCAGAGAAAAGATTCCAAAGCTTCTTTTTCTAGAAATATAAAAACAAACACACAAGGGAAAAAGACTAGAGCGTGTACTACACAGTAAATTTATTCAGAATTTGGATAATTCAAATTCTATTCATTATTAATTGATTGATTAAAAATGTTTATATTATCTTATATAATTGAGATTTTAAGTACATCATTCATCGACATGACAATAAATTGAAAATTTTGTTGGAACACCTTTACAACTCCTTCCACAACCTAGCTAGAAAGCAATACGAATATAGAAATGATATAAAATAATAAAAGTATTAATATATTAATATGAAATAGAATAATATAAACGATCACATATCCAGTAAAGGGGTAATTTAACGTCAAGAAGCAAACGTTCCCACAAAATGGTGACTTTGTCAATAGTGAAATTGGGATTGAGAAAAAGAAAATTAGTGCATTATGACGACGTTTATTTCACAATGTTTCTTTTACTGTAAAGATTATTTAATTTATTCTCAATTTTAAAGTTAAACAAATTTATCTGTTAATAATAATAATATTATAGATGTTTTACAACAAATCGATGGGTCAAATTTTGATTAAAATAATTCCAAGTATGCATTTTTTTCCTACCAGGGGCGGGTGAGGTAGTCGTCCCTTAAAATTTTCAAATTTTTATATATTTTATATATTTTCTTTGTATTTTCTATTGAAAATATATTTTCGGCCCCTTAAAGTTTTGTAAGTTCACCCCTATTTAAAAATTTATAAATTCATCCCTCTTAACATAAAATCTTACATCTATCCCTTATTACAGTATTTTTATTTTTATTTTATTTTATTTTTGATTAAAGGTGCCTTTACAGTAAAGTGCCTAGCAATGTGGTGCTTTATTTCCATAAACATATTTATATCAATTTCCAGATATCTAATGGGCCAAAGAAGAAAGTGAAGGATTTAGCCCACCTTGTAGCTTCTATGGTTATTGAAATTGGGCACATTTCATTCATATCCACAAACTGCGGTCCATGTTTTGTGAACGCTTCTTTCGCATATCATATTTTGTAATACCTATATATTCGTTCAGTAAAAAAATTCCATAAATATCTAAATTCATATCATTTAATATTTTTCATAAAATATATAAAAAATTATAACATATTAAGTGAGTTTAATAATAAAAAATATAATTTTTCTCTACAAATCCGAGTTCGAACAATATATATTATCAATCAATTAATTTTTTTTATATATATTATCTTATAATTATTCTGAACTAAATAATTTAAAATAATTTAAGAAAATTTTAAACATTTTTTCCCGAATAATTTGGAGTATTTATAAGGTAACATTTGTTCAAAATTTCTTCAACCTATTATCAATGCACACAACACAAATCATTATTCTAACTTATTATCTCTAAAAGATCAATATTTCTTTTTAAAAACTACTTGATGAAATTAAAACTCTAAACATATTATCTCTATTTTAAAATTTATCATAAACTGTTGTCCTAAAAAATTTCAATATCAAATCTACAACACAATTAAAATGAAATTTTATTTATTTATTTATTATTAGGGAGTTTTTTTTATTAATCTTAGCAAATATAAGGTATTATTTGTTCAAAGAATAATCTCAATATTTTAGTATTGAACATCAAATCCCTAACATTTTTGGTACTCAACCCAACACTAAAAAAATAACAACAATTCTTTTATCATTGAGATCGTGTGCATTAAAAAGCTATTTTCATTAAAGTTTTGTTCAAAAAATTTATTTATTTTAGTAATTACAAGGTAAAGTTTAATAATTATTATGTCTTCAACATTTTCTTTATTATCATATTTTCATAGTAAAACTTGTGTGCGTAATTTTTTCACCTAATTTAATCTAAATTAAGTCAAATATAGAATAATTTCTAGTTATATAAATAAGCTCGACTTGATACATTATATAAATAATAAAATAATTATAAAATATACATATTAATAAAAAGTAATTTGTGATATCTTATTATATAATTAGGAGTATAAATGAGCAGAGTATTCAATGAACTATTTATGAGTCATACATATAACATTTATATATGTATTTTTATTAAGATAAACAAATGAATGTGAACAAAATTTGATGTTCATTTAATAAATAAATGAACAAAAATAAATGTGTGTTCGGTTAATATTTATTTATGAACAAACTCGTTTATTAAGTTCTCATTTTCTTTCTATTATTTTAAATTTTAAATATTAATGAATGTATGGATTAAAATGAACCTACAATTTTAATGTTTATTAAGGTGTATTCGTTTATTAAATTTTTATTTTCTAAACTTACAAATAAATGAGTAAAAAGAGAATTTTAGCCTTTGAAAAATTAAATGAATATATTCGTAAACGCTAAACAAACAAACACGAATATATTCAAAAATAAATAAATAAACATATTAAAACACCAATAATTTAAATAAACATGACCTGAACCTAAACACTCTCAAAATAAATAAAATAATAAAAATTTAACTTTATTCGTTACGATTCTGGTTCAATTACATCCTAGATATAATAAACAATAAATATTTTAAGCCCAGTTTAAAGATTAATATGTTTTTTGAAAACGAAGTGGTATATTGGTATATAACTTTAAAAATAGTGGCACTATAGTAATCTCACTAGCTTTTCGGCATTCATAGCTCTGATATCTAAACGCAGCTCGTTCGGCCGTTCGTTCAAATTTTTATTTCAAGAAATGTTTATTTTTCGTTCTGATATCTGTCATTTTTCATTTCTCTAAACATCCACTTTCGCGGATTCAAAACCCTAATATGTTTGTGTGATCGGATTCTGTATCAGTAATATCCGGAGTGTAATTTGTTTTTGTCATTGTTTGTCTGCCGGGAAAAAAAGGCAAGGTAAAGAAAATTTGAACTTTTTTTTCTCAAGTTTTTTAGAATTATGGAAGCGGTTACATTTGATTGATGGTTCTACTTCGTTTTCATGAGTTATTTTTTGGCATTGGTTTACTTGTGTAAGTTGGAATTTGGTTTACTTTCTAGAGGTTTGCAAAAGCTTTCAAATAAGTGAAAATTGTTGAATGATTATATCCATGATCGAACCGATTTGAATTTACTTTTGCGTGTTTTACTTTTTGTTTATTCGGATATGCGTGTGGTTTGTTTTTCACCGTTTGACCTTTTTAAAGATCTTTACTAGTATAGTTGGAACTGGCTTAGATTTTTATGCATTTTCAGGTGTTGTCTTTTGAGAATTTATCACAACCTAGACAATGATTGCAATCTATTTAGATACATGTACATTGACTGTGTGCTATACCTCTTCGGGAATATTGAAGAAACCATTCAGAATGAGAGAATCATGACTTACTTGGAAATGAAATTGAACTTGTTTAATAGATACCTGAAACTGATGGAAGGGAAAATAATTGTTAAATATGATGGCATTTTATTGTGTTGTTGTTCTGTCTTTCCTGTCTCCTGGATGTGAGGGGGGAGAGGAAGCTAAGAAATACCTATTTCTTCCATTTGAGTTTGTTCTTTGTTTTAAGTAGGAGAAAAGATGGGAGAATTCTCTCGTTCCCTGTGATATTTACTTCATCCGGTTCGGTGTCCAACATATAACTTTACATATTTATGTTGCTTTGCTTTCAAATTGATAATTAGGGTTTTCAACTGTTCAAATGTAAGACGACGGTTTAATAGATTGTAATGCATGACTGAAGTAGTTATAGCCAATCAATATTGGTTTAATTCAAGTCACACTGCGGACATAAAATTTAAAGACGGTGTTAATGTGATATTCCAAGACAGTTGGAATATGTCGATATCAGATATCCGCAGCCACGTTTATCATTGAGTCGCAATGCAAACATAAAAATTTAAGGCGGGAATCTGTATATAGACATATCTGGGACATTGTATTGTTATGTCTGTTTTGGAGCCTATTTTATAAATCACACTCCACTGGCAAGAGAGACTGCAATATTTCTTGCATGAATAATTCTAGTTTCCATATTTACCTCAATAATGATGTAAAACATTAAATATACATTTGATTAAGAAAGAATTACTGTTGTTAAAAAAAATAAGTTTGGTTTATTCTGTGTGCACTTATTTTTCATGAAGTTTACTTTAGCTGGATTTAGGCTTGCCCAAAGCTCCACTCTCTAACTAACACATTCCTGTCTTGTTTTAGAATTTTATCTTCTTGCCTCCTAATTTGACCAGGAATACAATTGGCTTTTAACATTCTTTGCTTCTGTCAGCTATGGAGCAAGAAAAACAAAAATGAAGCTGACACTACAGTAGAGTTGGCAAAATCAGAATCATCTGATAAGAAAATCTCAAATTTATTGAAGGCCAAATCCGATATTGCAAAGTCAGTGGCGAAGAAGTTCCTGAAGACAAGAAAAGAAAATAATACTTCTGAGGTCCAGAGGAAAAGGCAAAAGAAGAAAGGCGCGAGCAAAGCAGAAGACAGTAAAGCAATAAAAATTGATGTTATGAAGTTAAATTCAATGGAAGAAAACCAGCAAAAGGATGCTACGACGAGTGTGGAGCACGTAGAAAAGAATCAGGAGATCCAAAAGAATGAAGAAAATACAAGTGCATCAGATAACAAGGAAAAGATTACAAAATCAAAATACAATCCCAATAAACGAAGAAGTGGCAAGGAACCTGGCCTTTCAAACAAAAAATCGAAGAATGAAGAAAAGTGGGAGGGTAATAAAGGAGGGAAACAAAATGAACAAAAGGAAAAAGACAGTTTGTCAGTGAAGAATAACACAAGTGATGAAAAGCGAGATGGTAAGGGAACGGATCAAGAACCTAAAAGAAAGAAAATATTGATGGTCTAATATTTATGTGCAATGCAAAGACCAAGCCAGATTGTTTCCAATATCATGTAATGGGGGTATCAGGTGGCAAAAAGGATCTTGTTCTGGGTATTAGGCCGGGGGTTAAGCTTTTTCTATATGACTATGATCTCAAGCTATTATACGGGGTTTATAAAGCAGCCTCGTATGGTGGCATGAAACTTGAGCCGAAGGCTTTTGGTGGGGCTTTCCCTGCTCAGGTACAGTTTTATTTTAGCCGTCTTTACTTACAACTATTCTTCATATTCATTACTTTAAGGGGATTTGTGTACCAATGACTTCTGTTTCAGGTGCGTTTCAGTGTACATGTTGATTGTTTTTCTCTGCCAGAAAGCATTTTCAAGAAAGCAATCAAGGAAAATTATGATGAAAAGAACAAATTCAAAACTGAACTTACTGCTAGACAAGTAAGGAATAGTTTCCTTACCTGTTAATTTGACGTTTATAGTTTCTGGCATATTTTAGCATTAAAGGCGTCTGATATTTCTTTCAGGTTCGGAAGCTCACAGAACTTTTTCGGCCAGTTCCAGTTCAATCAACTGCACAACCTTTTCACTCCCCATCAAGGGTAACAGCTTGCATAATCGAGCGCCCTGAAAAAAGGGAAGCTCATGATCGACCAAGGGAAGCAAGGCCCCTGTCACACAGGGAAGCTTCTCTTAGAGCTACTTATGCATCTCGTGAAAAGGATCAGCGAATTGCACATCGAGAGTTGGCATCTACTAAGAGGGGGGATGGTCATCGCGATTTATACTTTAGTGAGAAGGAATACAGGGCTTATGGTCTTCTGGGGGAGAGAAGAAATTTGAGTCCGGCTCCTACATTAACATCTTACCTGGGAGATCACAGAGAGCCACCTTTGCGACAACCAGATACAGTATACAGGGAACATGTGCCTGATCTTGACTGAAAGAGAATATCGGACTTATGATTTGGGTGCTACACGAGTAATACATCCAACAGTTTCTGCAGCAACTGCAAACACATCTGTAGCTGGTGCTTCTATCTTGGACTCTTATATTACAGATCCATATTATGGCCGTTATTCTGGTGATGCATTGGTGGATGCTTATCTACCACCTCCGAGAGAGGCACACCTGATGGAGACCGATCTTTTGAGGAGGAGAGAAAGCAACCAAGCAGATAGGTTATACTCCACACATCCTTTTGACGCTTTAGTACATCATAGTCAGATGCATCGTCATCGAGATGTTAAGCCTGCAGCTACTTCTACATCAGTTTCATCCCGGTATTCATTTGGTGGTGCATCTTGGCTTATCGCTGAGAGTAATCAGTCCCTTCGTATCGCTAATTCAAGGCATGGTCTTTTAAAATTAATGATCTCTTTTCCAATTGTATGTATGGATGCTGTTGAACTTCAATAAGCTACCCTGTTAAATGGTTTTATCATGGATCATTAGGATATAGCAATTTGCAAGCCAGTACTTTTCGAAGCTATCTGGTTGTGGTTGAATATTCTGTCAGAACCTCTTTGCCATTGAAACTGTATGTTACTCTGATTAGGGTCCGACTTTTGGATAAGGGTATGTCCAATACAAGTATGGATGGATTATTTTATGTTTTTTCCTTGTATTAGGAGGTTTTATGATTTATTATATTCAAGGGCTTAACAAACTGATCAACTGGAATTTATAGTGTGTCGCAAAAGAATAATAGCCCATTAGCTTGTCTAGTGGAATAGTATTCAATAAGAAAAAAAGGTAAACTGCGTTTTTAGTAATCCAATTATTCTTGTGATTTTGTTTTGGTCACCTAATTATTTTTTTAAATTATACCTAAAATTACATTTGGTTTTATTTTGGTAACCTGTTGTTTAAAGAAGTAGAACTGTTGATGTGGCAAATGTTTATTTTTTTTAATGATGATGTGGCATTACTTTATGATAATATGGGATTTTGAAAAAAAATTAAATGATTAAAACGAAATCACAAAAATAATTGGATGACTAAATATATAGTTTATCCTAAAAAATGGGGTCTTCTAAAATTTACTTAGGAAAGTAAATATTTTCTATAATAATTGTCAAAATTATCTTAAGATGTTGATGATTTTACTAAAATTGTCTGATGATGCGATAAATCAAAGATAAAACTGTCTTGTGGTACAAAAGTTTCAGTTACGACATCAATTATTAACAATCAAAATGAAAAAAATCGTGTTCAATTTCAACCCTTAAAAATTAAGTATTATTAGTTTGAATAAATATCAGATTGAATGAACGGTGATCATGGTTTTGAAAATCGGACTGGATTGGTCGGTTCAACCAGGAATCGTGTGTTAGTCCGGTTTAATTTAAATTGGTTGAACCGTTATTAGTGAACCGGCTAGAACCACTGAACCATTTGAACCGGATCGACTGAAAACCGAAAAAAAAACCGAAAAAATCGGAAATTTTGTTTTTTTTTAAAAAAAATTAAACCAAATAACGTCATTTGTTAAACGAGCCAAGTCGAACTCGAGTATTGCTGAGCTCGACTCGAACTTGAAAACTTTAAAAGTAAGCTCAACTCGACTCAAACTCACAAGCTAAAAATTATCAAGTTTAACTCAAACTCGAAATATAATATTGAAACTTGAACTCAAAAAGGCTTGAACTAAAAAAAATTTAGAAGCTCGATTGAAGCCTAAAATTCGAGATTGATTGAAGTGAAAGAATAGTTCACTCAATGCTCACCAAAAGGCTCCATGATTTTAAATATCAAATTACCTCTATTATTTATAGAAGTTAGTTGTGATGCTCTTTTATGTTTCTTAGCAATGTGAGATTGTTTTGTTCTCATATTTTTACTCTTTAGACTTTTGGGATGCTCTTCTATGTTTCTTAGCCATGTGAGATTGTTTTTAAAAAAAAAATTAAACCAAACAATATCATTTTATTATGATTTTTTTAACCCTAAATTTATTTTTTAATTATAGTTATATAACTATATTTATTATTTAATATGTTTTACCTTAAATATTATATTGTAGTTAATTTAAATTATTTTGTTTCACTTGATTTTATGGTTTTTAACTTATATATGTTATGATTTGCTTTGAATATGACTTGTGATATAAAAGATTAATTTTTATTAAATATTTTTGGTATTTTTATTTAATTTTTTAAATAATTATAATGTCGTCTGGTTCTTTCGACCGGTCGGACCGATTCGACCGATTGAACCAGTGAACCGATAGTATGACCGGTTCGTTAACCGGTCCGGTTCTGAAAACCATGATGGTGATCAAATGTTCTCCGAGCTGAGTTGTGGAGCATCCTTATTGCCTTACACATGGCACGAGTTAAGAGGCATTCGGAATTTGAAAAGTCAATCGGACCGTCTTAATGATGTAAAGTCTATTACCGGCCTGTATGAGAAATTCACAGGTTACGATCTGAAAACTGCGAAACTTCCATTCGATGGATTCCACGGAAAGCAAACACAGCTGCAGATGTAATGACGAAGCTGGCTGATAGATACGTGTTTTTCCACGACAGTATATGAATCCGTGCTACCTCTGATCACTCAACACATCCATGATCCTCCTCATTTGAGGCTCGTTTTGTAACTCCTTAAAACGCCCTCTCAATTAAAATTTATTTAATATAAAATTTCACGAGTATTAATATATCAAGTGATGAATGAGAGTCCTTCATTGTTATCCGTTGTATTCTTTGTAGGCATAATAAGAGCAATTACAAGACAAGCGAAGCATACAAACTGTATTTATAGCTATATCATTATTCTATTAATAAGACAAACAAAAATAAGAAAGAAGATAAAATCGCAATGCTGTTGAATTAAATTATTTTTCATTTAAAAAAAGAAATTAAGTTTAATCGTTTTCCATTACATGGAATAAGAAAGGAATATCTGAGATCAGCAGCACTAATACCGAAATATAGTGAACCCAAAGGTGAGTTTATTTAATTTTGGAATCTTTTTAGAGAACAAGTTATTGCATGCTAAAGGATTACATATAAAATTAAAAATATAACTCAACTTGATAAATAGGTGAGTTTTAGTTTTCAGCGACATCGTTGAGCTATTGGGCAATATATATATATATATATATATAAAAGGAAAAACAGGTTTGGTGTTTCTCTTGAGAGATGAATCTCGCATTTTATTATATAGGATTATTAAAGGGTAAAGGCAGTATAGTTGATGATGGTGGTCCACTGATGACGATAAGATATTTTAGAGATTATAAAACCTTCTATAATGGTGTTCTCTTCGGAAACCTGTTTACACTTTCAAATTGCGTCGTTTTGGAGATATTCGACCCATGGTATGCGCGATTGACTCGATCCGTCTCATTCTCTATTTTTGGATAAATTATTATCTCAATCCCTCTATTTTTTAACATGTTTTGATTTAGTCTTTATATTTTTACTAATTGTTATTTTTTACCATTTTAATTTCTGATTTCCTTCTAATCATGTTCTACAGGTTAATTGCCATTTTGGCAACGATAAGTTATATATTTTTTAATATAGTTCTAATATGTAAATTAATTTATTTATTCGAATACTTTTAGACATTATATATTTATATTTATACATATTATTTATAATTGTTAATTATTATTAATCATATATGTTATATTAACATTTCATTTTGTGTTTATTAAAAAACGAGATAACATGTATTTAATTTAGATATCTCACACGTAATTGATTTTCAAATCCAATTAGAATTGAGATTAAAAAACAGACACAATTATAAATATTTAAACTTACCTAATTAAAACGACTAATAAGGAATTCAAGCACATGGCTATCTTTTCAAAACCCAACATTTTTTAAACTACCTAAACCGATATATACACCCGTCATTTAAGAGACTAATTTTTTTTCATTTATAAAATTTTAAATGAACGAATTAACCATTTAACTCAAACTTTATTTTATTATTATCCGTACTCTTATTGGCTTGTGACCTCGTGGTTTACAGTTCCCAAGTTTCCTCGTCGCTGTCACCAGTGTTTGTCAGTCAACTTCAACCTTAGCTCCATCAACAGTATTATTATAGCTCGAGAGAAAAAAATAAAAGAAAAGAAAATGGCAGAAAATGAAAATAGCCCGCTCTTTGAAACAAGGCCGGTTAAGGGACGGTTCGTTTTCAAGTTATTCATAATTTCAGTGACTGTCGGTATCGGCTTCATTTGTGCTTACAGACTACGGTTTTTTCCGGTGGCATCGGGAAAACGTGAGCGATGTGCTTGGATTGGATTGTTTCTTTGCGAGCTCTGGTTCAGTTTTTATTGGTTCATCACCCTAATTTGTCGATGGAACCCTGTCTACCGTTTTCTTCACAAAAACAGGCTCTCCCAAAGATACGTGAAAGAAACATTACCGGGCGTAGACATATTTGTATGCACGGCGGACCCGTCGGCGGAGCCACCAGTCATGGTGATGAACACAGTTTTATCATTGTTGGCTTATGACTATCCACCGGAGAAGTTAAACATCTATTTGTCCGACGATGGAGCGTCGGATTTAACGTTTTATGCAATGTTGGAAGCTTCAAGTTTCTCAAAGCAATGGCTGCCGTTCTGCAAGAAGTTCAAGGTGGAACCCAGATCTCCCGAGGCTTACTTTCAGACAGCCATTGAACCAGACAACCATGATCCTGTCGAGCTCAAACACTGGCTTTCAGTGAAGGTAATTTTTTTAATACATTCTGTCCCTTTTACATTCGAGAAACATCTGTCAAAAATAATATTACCCTAATTTCCTTACATTATTTCCCCCCCCCCCCCCGATTAACACAGAAACTATATGATGAGGCAAATATGAGGATCAAAACCACGAGGAAGAAGAATAAAATCCCAGAAGACATTCGTAAACAGCACAAAGGATTTCGTGAATGGGACTTTGTTACAAGCAGGAATGATCATCAAACCATTCTTCAAGTAAATTATTTCATTAACTCCTCAATTTATTACTTAAGTAAGCTTAAAAAACTTGATTAATTAGTTACTTATTAATTTCTTAGATCTTAATTGATGGAAGAGACCCCGATGCTGTGGATATTGAAGAAAACGTCCTTCCTACCCTTGTGTATTTGGCACGTGAAAAAAGACCTCAATATCACCACCATTTCAAAGCTGGAGCCATGAATGCTCTTGTAAGTATAATTTTCTTTACATTACATATATTATATGTATATACAGCTCAAGACTCAAGAGGAGATATCTATTTATGTTAGTATAAAATAAATTAATTCTATTTAAATTTCATATAATTAGTGTAAATGTTACAGTATAATCAAATTCGCCGTACATTTAAAGTTTATAAATATTAAAAAAAATAATGCTAGATCATCCGGATGGATCTAATTTACATGAATAGAATATAAACATTAATTGGTTTCATATTATATTAATGTCCCTCCTGCTATCTTATTTTCTAAAATTTAATTTGTATGTTATTAATGAATGACTTTTATGGTGAAATATATCAGATTAGAGTATCAGCAAGGATAAGCAATAGTCCGATTATTTTGAACGTAGATTGCGATATGTACTCAAATAATTCGGAATCCATTAAAGACTCTTTATGCTTTTTCATGGACGAAGAGAAGGGACATGAGATCGCCTTCGTACAACATCCTCAAACCTTCCACAATCTCACCAACAATGACATTTATGGTAATTCACTTCGAGTTGCACGAAAGGTAATTCAGTTTTATCAATTTGAAATGCTTTGTTGAGGTTTTTTTTTTGATGGGGGTATGAACAATGAAGGTGGAGTTTCCAGGATTAGACGCAAATGGAGGGCCATGCTATATCGGGACCGGATGCTTTCACCGACGAGAGGCTCTATCCGGGAAGAAATACGACGAAACCTGCAAAGTTGATTGGAAGCGACTAAATCATACAAGGGTTGAAGAAAGTACAATTGTTGTTGAAGAAACATGTAAAGTTCTTGCAAGTTGTAGCTTTGAACAAAACTCACCGTGGGGAAAAGAGGTTTGCTAAGTTCCCTTACACATGCATTTGTCCATGAATACAACAAATTTGTCTATGAATCAGTTCTGTTTTTCTTTCTTTACAGATGGGGTTGAAATATGGGTGCCCAGCAGAGGATATAATTACAGGTTTGAGCATACAATGCAGAGGCTGGAAATCCATCTTTTTGGACTCTGAAAGAGAGAGTTTCTTAGGCATTGCTCCGATTTCACTGTTGACGATGCTGGTGCAACATAAGAGATGGGCCGAAGGTCATTTTCAGATTTTCTTGTCAAGATATTGTCCCTTGTTATACGGACATAACAGGATCCCTCTAACACTTCAACTCTGTTACTGTTCCGCCAATTTATGGGCTGCAAATTCTTTGCCAACGTTGTACTATGTCCTTGTCCCTTGCATTTGCCTTCTTAGAGACATCCCATTGTTTCCCGAGGTATGTATGAACATCCAAACTGCTCATCTGTGTTATCCAGATTACGGGTATAATCAAGCTTAATTCGAGTTATTCGAGCTTGTGTTTGGGAATCAGATATCAAGCCCATGGGTCCTCCCATTTGCGTATGTTTCCATTGCACACCGAACATATTGTCTTGGGGAATTCATGTGGTGCGGGGGCACATTCCAAGCTTGGTGCAACGATCAAAGGATATGGCTGTTCAAGAGAACCACTTCCTACTTTTTCGCCTTCTTTGACACCGTCTTGAAGCTACTAGGGTGCTCGAAATCAGCCTTTGTCATCACACCGAAGGTTGCGGATGGAGATGTCTCAAGAAGATACAAGCAAGAGTTGATGGAATTTGGTGATTCATCTCCCATGTTCGATGTTTTAGCGTCGCTTGCAATGTTGAATCTGTTTGGTATCTTTGGGGTGATCAAGAAGCTGGCCTTCGATGCCGATCACGATGAGTTTTCTGATCGATTTGGATTGCAGATTGTTTTGTGTTTACTTTTGGTTGGTCTCAACTGGCCTGTATACAAAGCACTGTTTTTCCGTAAAGATAAGGGTAGAATGCCAGCTTCAGTTACTTACAAGGCAATTACCTATGCCTTGTTAGTATCTACACTAGCCTTGTAGTCACGATTAAATGACGGTTTTAATCGCATTATATTTATCATGAGATAATGTAATGGATTGCGATGATTATTGATAATAAAAAACTAAAATTCATCGAAACACAATATTATGATAATTTATTTAGATTTTATTATTATTTATATTTAGTCCTGATATTTTATCTCCAATGCATGTCAGGGCATAAAAAACCAGGTAACAAATTAATTTTCTTTGTTTAAGCAGATTTATCAAGTAGTCTCGTGTATATTTAATGTTCCTAAACTTCTATCATATGAAACGTTGGACTGATCTTAAAATTACTGTGTAGTAGGAGTTATTTGTATTAATGAATTGTATTTATTTACAATGCTTTCAATCAATTTTGCTTAGGTAATGGGCAGTACGAAAACGACATCCTCTTTTGATTTATCCCCTGTCGTTTAACCATGTGTTTTTTCATTATTTGCTTCTTTATTTCCTTTTTCTCCATTCCATTTAAAATCATATCTTAATTTGAAGAAAAGTAAATAAATTTGATCATTACTTATTACCAAATTAAAATAGAGTTGAAAGGCATTTTATGATTCTTAAATTCTATTTTAAAAAAGACGTGACTTTTAAGAAACTGAAAAAAGAAGACCGAAAATTGGCACCACAACACGCAACAAATAATGCTTCTTACTCGCCATTGAAAATGGTATTGAATTTTTAAAGGAAGGGAATTACAGTCAATTTGAGATTTTGAAAAAAGTCCTTTGCGATTGTACTTTTAGAGGGATCAATTTGAACTGCTCTGTATATTAAAAGGATTTAATTGATCTATTTATTGTTAGTGAGACTATATTTATACAAAATCTATAATATAATAAAAGAACTTATTACTGAAATCAAAATCTCATGTGAATATTATATGTAACATCTGGGATTAAACTCAAATAGAAACAATAAAGTGGGGTATTTATTCACTCTGTTCTATTTGCATTTTCTCAGGGACTCAACTAGAAACATAAAGTTGGTTTATTTCATCCGTGTTTTAAGATCCGATTTTCAACTTCCAAAAGTCAAACGTTCTCCGCAAAATCAAGCAAAGCAAATGGCGCGTTCTTCAATCCTCCATAGGCGTCTCGCCTCACTTCCTTCAAAGACCTTCTTTGTACCTGCAGCTTTAGCTCTCGTTTCCACACTTTCCATTCTTTTTTACATATTCACAACTTCAACTCTCTTCATTTCCCATCAACACCAACACAAGCTTCGCTTAAAACCAACATATATATCTTTACAACCTTCACCATCGACTCCCAATCTCCCCTCAAATGGTTTTAAAAATGGGAGCTTTCACTTGTCAGCAAAGTCTCCATCCAATGCTTTTGGCGGCGGCGGTGGTAATGAAGATGGGACTGTGAATCGAGTGTCTTCAATATCTCATTTTGGACCAAAGGGTATGTTAATTTTGAGATATTTCATAATGGGTATCTGTTGCTTCTTCCTTTTGTTTCTTCTCTGGTTTTTCATTTGAGCTTCAACTTTTGAATTGTGATCTCTGTATGAGTTTGAGTTTTGTTCGAGTTTTCACCTAGTGTTTGTGAATATGCTATCGGTTCATTGATGAACTTCAAAGAAATTAATTCATTTTTAGGTGGTATACCCCCTCCAAAAACATTCTAATCTCTGTCAGACCGGACTTATTAAAACTGTCTTCTGTCAGCTAAAGTCTTTAAACATGCTCCTCCATTGATTAGGAACCTCCAATAAGCCTAAGTCCATCGATACAAGTTTTTTTAGTCAATTATAATATATGGATAAAATTTAAGATTGATTAGAACGAAATTCAAAATTTGATGAGTGAATCCATTTAAACAGTAAATTAAAAATAGTTATAATGATCTTTCGACTAACACAAACATTAAATATCACTAAAATATCTCAATAAGAATGAAAAAAAGTTAGAACCTTTGATATTTCATATCCCAATTTCTATCTTCATTTTTATGATAATTTGTTTTCTTGTTTATTTAAATACGGACTAAAGATTATTTTCTTACTAATTATAATTCTTTATAATTCTATTCAAGTCAGAAGAGATGAACTGTTAAAGATAATAACATAAACTTGTTGTCAACATTAGGCATGAATTTTGTTTAAATTTATTTGGCTTTCAATGTCTACAAGGTAAATTAGAAGTCTTAAAAAAAAAATTATTCTTGAGCGTAAAACTGTAAGTCTTGTGTATATAAGTAATTTTACCTATCTTAGGTAAGTATTGGATTGATTAGTCAACCAGCTTAATCTAGAAACTTCAATGTTTTGCTGCTAGAACTGCGGATTCATGGTTTTTATGGTTCAGGAATCAACATCGATGTCTTCCATGACGGAGATATCTTTCTGGAGGATTATCGAGAGATGAAGCGGAGCTTCAAGATATATGTCTATCCTCACAGTCGAAAAGATTCCTTTGCTCATGTATTCTTGCCTGTGGATTTCGAACCAGAGGGCAATTACGCCAGTGAAAGCTACTTCAAAAAGGCTCTAATGAAGAGCCATTTCGTAACCAAAGATCCGAGGAAGGCGGATCTTTTCTTTTTGCCTTTCTCGATCGCAAGGTTGAGGCATGATCGTAGAGTTGGTACGGGAGGTATTCAAAATTTTATCCGAGATTACATCTCAAACATTAGTAGAAAATACCCTTATTGGAATCGCACCGGTGGAGCCGATCATTTTTATGTTGCTTGTCACTCCATCGGACGATCGGCCATGGCAAAAGCCGTGGAAGTAAAACTTAATGCCATACAGATTGTGTGTTCTTCGAGCTATTTCATTTCCAGATACGTTGCTCACAAGGATGCATCTATACCTCAAGTATGGCCGAGAACCGGAAATCCTTCTAATATCGCCACATGCAAAAGGTCAAAACACTCCCTTCCTTGATATGTTTAGACTTGTAAAACATCATAGTTTATAGCTGTTGAAGTTATTGGTATTGTTGCTAAAGGTACTTAACCGTGTTTTACAGGAACAAACTTGCGTTTTTCGCTGGATCGATCAACTCCCCGGTGCGTGAAAAGCTTCTGGAGTTCTGGAGAAATGATTCGGTGATATTTGCTCATTACGGTCGGCTTAAAACACCGTATGCCGACGAGCTGCGTGGCAGCAAGTTCTGTTTCCATGTAAAAGGCTTTGAAGTGAACACAGCTCGAATAGCGGATTCTTTATATTATGGTTGTGTCCCGATCATAATCGCCAACTACTATGATCTCCCATTTGCTGATGTACTGAACTGGAAGAGCTTCTCGATTGCTGTCGTAACTTCCGATATCCCGTCCCTTAAGAAAATCCTTCAGGGAATAAGTTCCGACGAGTACTCGGCATTACGACGCAATGTGTTGAAGGTACGTAAACATTTCCAGTGGCATGTTCATCCTACTGATTTTGATGCATTTTTTATGGTGATGTATGAGCTGTGGCTCAGACGAAGTTCTATTCGAATAAATAAATGACTGATTGATTGTATTTGCCAATTTTTTTTGTGATACGTAAACTTTTTCAAAAATTTAATTACCAATGGACTTGCCCGAATTGATTTGGACTTGGACAGTATATTTTTCATTTGGGAAAAAATATTGGGTCATGGGTTTGCACATTCGTGGACTCTTTTAGCACATCCATGATCCAACATTCACATCACAGAGCGTAAGGAATAAAAAAAAAACCATATATGATTTGATAACATCGGACATTGTTGAGCATATTTTCATAATGCTTCGACGCGAATGGATTGAAAACAAAAGTTAGACAGAGAAATAAATTAAACAAAAATGGTATTGAAATGGATTTGATCTTGGAATTCAAGTATTCCTTCTTTTTCTGGAAAATGATGGCTGTTGATAATTATAATAATAATAAATTAATTGTATAATTTTAAATACTATTTAATGAAATGAAAATGTACATTAGCCAAGTTGGTCCCCGGACATGAAACTTGTTCATAAATTAATTGGGGGGGGGGGAGAGTGGTTGAAAGCATAGTCATAAAGACATAACCCACATTCTTCTCCTTTGAACGAATGTAGCTATCTATCAATTAACCTAAACTAAATCATCAAAAGAAGTTATAAATAATCAAATTCATTCATTCAAAAAATATTCATTCTCTTTTTATCTCAATGGGGAAGAAATCATCTTCATTGGTTTACCAGATCTTCCAGCACCGATTCCCAGCAACATTTAAAGGTTTCTTCTATTTTTTACCAATAAGCTTAGCCTTAACCACACTTCTTCTCATTTTCATTTACATTTCCACTACTGCAAGTGTCACTAAAAATCATGCCCAAGCCACTCTTTACCTTCAAACTTTGCCTTCTTCCACTTCTTCACTGAGTATCGATCAAACCGGTAATCTCCCGGTGGTTCCGTTTGGAGATAATGAGAACGACAATGATAATCTGTTTGCTGATCCTTCCCGAATTGATCGTCTCTCCAGGGCTAATCAATGGCTTCTGGGGAACCTTTTCGGCTTAAGTAATGGAAATTACACAAATAACAAAGAAGCGTACCATGATGGTGATCTCTTCTTACAAGACTACAAACAAATGAACAAAAGCTTGAAGATTTTTGTCTATCCTCACAGTAAAGACGATCCTTTTGCAAATGTGTTGTTGCCTCCTGATTCTGATACCAAAGGAAACTATGCAAGCGAACTCATGTTCAAGAAAGCTTTGATGAAATCCCATTTCGTCACCAAAGATCCCAATGAGGCTCATCTCTTCTACATGCCTTTCTCGATTTCTCCGATGAGGACCGACCCCCGGATCGACGTTCACGGGATCCCGGATTTCGTGAAGAATTATATCTCCAATATTACTCAGAAGTATCCTTATTGGAATCGAACCGGCGGAGCCGATCATTTCTATGTCGCTTGTCATTCCATCGGGAAAATTGCGTTTGATAAAGCGTTTGTAGCTAGACTCAATGTTATTCAACTCGTTTGCTCTTCTACCTATTTTCCTTCGTCTTATCTTCCTCACAAGGATGCTTCTATGCCTCAAGTTTGGCCTCGAGAAGGAGACCCTCCTAACCTTGTTACGTCTCAAAGGTAAGTACGATTAGTAAAATGTTGTTTATTAACTATACCAATTAAATTCGATTCATTCAATTCAGTTTGTTCTAGATTAAAATCATGAGTTAAAATTACGAAGTTAGGGGAAAACAAACTAAAACTATATTTTCAGGAAGAGGCTTGCATTCTTCGCCGGAGCTGTGAACTCTCCTGTACGTATAGCTCTTCTCAAGGTGTGGGGCAACGACACTGAAATCTTCGTGCACTTCGGCCGCCTCCAAACACCCTACTCCGATCAACTCCTCGGAAGCAAGTTTTGCATCCATGTCAAAGGCTTCGAAGTAAACACGGCACGGGTCGCAGACGCACTATACTACGGTTGCATCCCTATAATCTTAGCCAACCATTACGACCTTCCGTTCACCGATATATTGAACTGGAAAAGTTTTTCTGTCGTCGTTCACCACGTCGATATTCCGGTGATGAAGAAAATACTTCAAGGAATAAGCAATGAAGAGTATAGCATGTTGCGAAGCAATGTGTTGAGAGTTCGGAAACATTTCCAATGGAATGTTCCGCCCATTGATTTTGATGCATTCCATATGTCCATGTATGAGTTATGGAAACGTCGTAGCGTTGTGAGGGTTAGGTTAACCCCTTCCGTGGAATTTATGTAACTCTTTTTCTTTTTTGAGCTTATCAATCTGGAATTGTATTTTTTTCCCTTAAAATAATTTTAATCAATAAAGCATCATCGATGAAAAGTTATTTTAAAAATATTATTGTAAAGTTATTCGTATCTTTCGACCCTAATCTTTTCTATAAGGTGATTTTTTTATTTTTTTTGACGTAGATCTAAACAAACATATTCTCCGTTTTAATTTATTTCTTTTTGTATATTATTCTTTATGATACTGTTGTGCATCTACTTTTATACAAAATTTTGTCTATTTTTATGATGATTTGATATTTTATGTTGCATGGTGTATCAATCGACGGTCTTGTACAATTAATTTTTTTTGTGGCAGTTTATTAATGTATTTAAAATCATTCGTGAAATAATATATCATATTAATTTTTTTAATTTTTACGCTTATATATTACATCTAGATTCATTTCTATTAAAAGATAAAATATATATTTAAGGGAAGCTTTTAGTTTTATTTTAATTTACTCCCTCTAAAATTTTACGTTAGGGCCTTTTGCTTTTGTACCTTAAATTTATTTAATGAAAACTTAGCTTGTTGTAAAAAGAGAAGAAAAAAAGTTATTCTAAAGGCGGATCCGATTTTAGTCCGTCCCGGTCCATAGAGACTTAATCTACTTGGCCCAGCCCAATATTTTGAGCAAACTGTTAACGGTATTAGCTGTGTAAACGTCAATTGAGTGTTAGCTAAGTGTGAAGGTGTGATATTTTAGTCGGTCACCCACGAATGCATGGATTTACAATGAATGTTCTCCATTTCCTTTGAAACAGTTAATCTGTTTTCTCTTAACCCTTCTTTCATTCTCCTCCTCCTTTATTATCTGATAAAATTCCTTGCATATTTCTCTGTTTTGTGTTTTCTGTGATTCTTTTCGTTTTGTGGTTGCATCAGAGGGCGTTTATAAAGTTTTGTGTTGAATCCTTTGCTTTCAATCCAGATTTGAACTCTACCCACTTCTCATCTCCCTGTTTTCCAGCCACATAAATCAAAGGAAAAAAGAAAAAGAAGGATTTGAATCTTTGATTCAAATCTGGGTTCTTTATGTTTTTGACTGGTTTCCTAGGTCTGGGTTCTCTTCACTGGAGGCTTGCTGCAACTTTCCAGGTAAAAAAAAAGAAGGAAAAATAAACTCTTTCTTTTTCATTGTGTTTATTTTACATTGATTTGTTTTAATGTGATTATTGGAATTTTGATATATATTGTTTTTTGGACTGTAGGGAGAATTGGGTGTTGAATTCAAGTTCCAAGAAACTAACTATTTTAATGAGCTAAGATGGCGGTCAATTCTAAGCTAAAATGGGTTGCATTATTTGTATTGGCTTTATCTTTGGTATCGTTGGTTGCCCATCTTTCAATGACAAAGTTTTCAAGTGTGAATTTAGCCCAGTATAACGCAAACGAAGCTTTAATCCATGCTATTCCTAATATTGGATCACCAGTAAGTTTTAATTTTTGTTTTCCAGATTCTGATAGAAAATGCTTTATCGTCATCTGTTTGCATGTGTAATTTTCTGTTTTGATGATGTTTATGTGTTCTTTTAAGTTGGAGGTTAAAAGAAATAAGAGGCTATGGGGTGAATTGAGGTCTCTGGAGTCTTTGCAGCCATATGCAAACCCCAGAAGCAGCTATCCTGGTAAAGGATTTTGCTTAAACTACTTAATTATGTATGTATGCTTCTATACTGCCAAAAAACTTTCGAGATGCCTACGATTGATTTTCCACATTTTTTCATGTATTTGGAGACTCCTTGAAGGGTCATATCCCGGTGCCATATCCGAAAATATGTTGGAGATGGTTGTCATACATCAGAAAAATAGATGTAATGAAAAATGCAGAGCCAGAGCAGCATACACTTAATGTGTCTATGTATTATATTTAGAAGGTTATTGAATTGATATGATTTTTATGCCAAAGTAATAATGAATGTCTTATTCTATAGGTGATCATAACAGTCCAATTTGAACTCACACCATTTTTTGAATTGAATCCTGTTAATATTTTAAGCTTTCTTAGCTATCATATTACCCGTATTAAATACCGGAATAAAAATTTGTAATCAAAAGAATATGGAAAGTTGATTATCTGTGCAGTTTCAAAAAATTTACAGCACCATTAATTTTTGAAATAGAATCAATGGATTCCAATGCCTAATCTCGTGTGGATAACTCTTAATAGGTTTTCTAGAAGAGCAAAAAAGAATGGTTGATATCTCTATGATACCTGTAATGCAGTCTGTAGAGAACTATCCGGGAAAAAGTCAAGTGTGTTCTTGATCTTATCTGAACAGCAGTATTCTGTTTACTTTCCGTTTGAACAAAATCACTGCGTGTTTGACCTTGTCCTTGTTTGAAAATTGACTAGCTTCAGAATAATTCTTTTAGTTGCTTAATTAGTAAATAATCATCTCTCTTGTAACAGCTCCGGATGAAAATAGCGACAGTTTCATATATGCAAAAATATTTGGTGGATTCGAGAAGATAAGATCTTCGGTATGACCTGTTAGATGCATTAAGTGTCTTTTTACTATTCCTTATTGGCTGTTCATAACATTTTTGTTAAATTTCTAGATCAGTGATCTTGTCACCATATCCAGGCTTCTAAATGCTACTCTTGTAATTCCTGAGATACAACAAAGTACCCGTTCAAAAGGCATCAGGTATAGTTTCTTAATGTATTTGTTATAAATTTGTTTTCAAGCCTTAAATAATATATTCTCACCGGTTTCATTGTTGCACAGTTACAAATTCAAGAGTTTTACCTATATTTATGACGAGGAGGAGTTCATTCTATCACTTAAAAATGATGTGAATATTGTAAAAACCCTGCCAGAGCATTTGAAGCATGCAAGGAAGAGGAGAAAGTTCCCTATTTTCAAGCCTCGAAATTCTGCTTCGCCAAATTTTTATGTCAAAGAAGTTTTGTCAAAATTGAAGAAAGACAAGGTTGTCGGCTTGATTATCACAGATGGAGGGTGCCTGCAGGTAGTTCATAGTCTTGTAATTGTACATAATAAATTTATCAAAGCTGCACCGAAAACAAAAAAGAGTTTGACGAAGTTCAAGTCTTTTTCCAAGATTTATCTATATACTTTCTCTAACTGCTAAAAAATGCTTTCAGAACTGCATGTCTTGTTCAGATGAACCTATTTGTTTCTCTTTTTACTCATTAGTTTATACCCATCTCTAAACCATACATGCATGTTAAAAAATCTCCATTGTATCATTATTTTATGAAATCATATTTGTTTCTAGGGGAAAGAAGATTGACTTGTCTTTCCTCTGATATTTTTAAGGTAATTTTGGTTGGAAAGCTGCCTGTTAATGTCGGGTGGTAGCTTGCTGTTGCAGTATATCGTTTTTAAAAACAAACTGATAATAAATTTTATGCTTGTATAGAGTGATTTCTGTGCTTAAGAGTCTTAGAGGTGATAGTCTCTCAATCACTGCAACACCGGGAACTTATTTTCTCTAAAACCTTCCAAACTATGGAAAATGTTTATTTTCCCCTTTAAAATGTCTTTCTGGAATTTTTATAATTTCTGGGGGTTGCTTTTGGTGAATTAAACCGAGCCTTGGTGAAAAATATTTACTGTTTCTTGTGATCGTGTACTTTCTAAATTGAAGACAAAACTATAAGATCAAATATTAAAGCAATAACCATATGTCTTTCAGTCTATTCTTCCACCTAGTATGTCCGAGTTTCAGAGGCTTAGATGCAGGGTTGGATTTCATGCACTCCAGTTTCGACCTGAAATTCAGATCCTTGGCCTCCGGATTTTGGAGAGGTATAATTTCCATTTGCCTTTCCCAGTAAATGAAAGTAATGCAATGCTCTATCAAGATTTATCCATTTCTTTGTGCTACATATCTTCCCCTTGTTAATGCATCCGCAATTATACTTTACATGAGTATCATTTGATATGCCTACACTTGATGAACCGGAGCTTTCTAATATTCCTTTAGGCTACGGGCATCGGGACAACCTTTCATAGCGTATCATCCAGGTTTAGTAAGAGACACATTGGCATATCATGGTTGTGCTGAACTTTACCAGGTCAGCACTTTATGTCTTTTCTTTCCAACAGTCTTGTCTACCCTAATTTGCATCTTTTTTTACTACCGCTTATCATTTCTCCCCTAAAGTCTGACAAATTCAACATTAGACATTCTTTTGAAGTATTTTGCAAATTTAACTAAAGAAAAATAAAAGGACTTCCATCGTTGTCAGTTCTGTGTAATTTCCTTTACTTCATCTATTTGATGCTCATTGTAGGATGTTCATACAGAACTTATACAATACCGACGGGCACAGTTGATCAAGCAAGGGATCATTAATGATGAACTAAGAGTCGAGTCACACATGCGAAGAGAAAATGGTTCATGCCCTCTTATGCCTGAAGAGGTATGTTACAAATAGAGTTCTTTGTTGTCGAATCCACTGATCCAGTGCCGTTGTAACATTAAAGTAGAGTACTTGTGGTTAAATAATGTATTACCTTAATGTAAATGTGAAATCCAATCTAGCCCTTTTAAATATGACCTAATAAGCACTTAATCCTCCTTCAAGAAGACAAAGGATGTTTTAATGACTACAGTACTGGACTTGGTGTGCTTCTCTTATATTATTAGTTTATTCCCCAATTTTGTAGGTTGGGCTTCTTCTTCGTGCGATGGCCTATCCTTCTCAAACAATTATATACCTGGCAGGATCAGAAACTTTTGGCGGTCAACGTCTTCTGATCCCTCTACGTGCTTTGTTTCCAAACCTAGTAGATCGCACTACGTTGTGCAGCAAGACAGAGTTGTTTGACTTAGTCGGTCCTGAAGCCCCTCTTCCTGCTGATATTTTTCGACCACCTCTTCAAAACAGTGAACAGCAAGTTATTGATGAGTGGAAAAAGGCTGGTCCACGGCCCCGTCCTCTTCCTCCACCTCCTGATAGGCCCATATACCAACATGAGAAAGAAGGTTGGTATGCCTGGATTACGGAGACCGACAAAGAACCTGACCCTTCACCTATGGATCTTAGGAAGCAAGCTCACAGGTTAATTTGGGATGCTCTCGATTATATTGTCTCTGTGGAAGCAGATGCATTTGTTCCTGGTTTTAGCAATGATGGTAGTGGATGGCCAGATTTCTCAGGCTTGGTTATAGGACAGAGGTTATACGAGAGAGCTTCTTCTAGGACTTACCGACCAGACAGGTTTGTATGCAGAAATTGCTGTTCTTTTTATATACATTTCATGAGCTATTCAACTTTCTCTATAATTGTGTTTTGTTTTATTTCTTCAAACAGGAAAAAAATTGCTGCACTTTTCAACATTACGCGTGACGATATGTACCATCCGAAGCGTAATTGGACGCTGTCTGTTAAGGAACATCTCAACAGAAGTTTGAGTGAAGACGGCCTCATCAGGCAATCACTGTTGTCGAAGCCAAAATATTTTCTATCACATCCACTTCCCGAATGCTCTTGTAGGATCCCATCCGTTGAAATTCCAAAACAAATAAAAGGCAAAGATGGCAGAATTCTATATGGAGGCGAAGAAGAGTGTCCCAAATGGATGCATTCGGCTAGGGCCAGAGGCGCTACAGACGTTGACAAGGAATTAGCAGAAGATTATGATGATGCAGTCGAACAGCTAGAATCCGATGTAACTGATGTCACAAGTAGCTTAACGTCGCTGATTGATCATGACGAAGAATGGGATCCTAATGACTAACAGATGATACAATCTACTCTCAAGCAAATTCGATTTTGGGTGAGTTGTTCTGGAATGAAATTCTTTTTCCTTCACTTGGGAGTTTCAGATAAACAAGTAGTTAAGGACTTTCGTCTTTATTGGCAGTGACAAAGAAAACCAAAGTGTTATTTTTATATTGGCTTTATACCGTCATGGTTGGAAGAAATACAGCCGTTGGCATAAAAATGCTGCTTCTTACTCGGTGCTTCTGAATGAGTGTAAATTCGCATAGAGAAAGGATTCCAATGACAGTTTTGTAGAGAGAATTCTTTTATCACGTTATTGGTTTGTTTGTTTGTTTACTTTGCTCTTTACGCTGCAATTTATTAGATACATATGCCATACAACACTTCTTTCCCTCATAAAAGTTTAACCAATTTGAGCAAATTCGATCATTTCCAAAGGTAGCACTGATGAAGAGACTTCAGTTATATATATATGGCTAATTTGAATTATTTGTTTTTTTTTCAATGTGCTTAATTGGACAAATAATTATAAATTATTAACTAAATATTTCTTTTGATTAATTCTGTATGTATTAAATCCAAAGAAACATCAAAAGCTGTTACAACCAAAGATCAGCAACCACAGAAAATGGGCTGCTCGACCGAGTAGAGCATACCCTAAACTATAGACCTGTCAATATACTTTCCATAAAGCTTTAACCACTTCCCTAATGGAATTAAAAACAACAGTACTCGGTCTAGTTTTATTCGCAAAGTTTTATTGTTTTTCCCTACCCGCACCATATATAGAAATGCACTCCAAGCTAATTTTAAGATGCAAGTAACGACTTACCCTTCAAACGAGTAACAACCCAAGCAGCTTCTTACTCTCACGACCAAATCACATGACAAAGGCTGCAAAACTGAAGAGCTCCTCTCCAAACATCCACAGATAAGGGGCATTTAAAGAAAAGATGTTCTCTTGACTCCGTCGCATTACCAGAAAGAACGTAACGGCTATCCACATCGATCACCATTCGAATGAGTCTATCATTGGTTGACAGTCTCCCCAAAACAACAAACCAAGCTATGATCGCATATCTAGGCACATACAAGGGGAACCAAATCAAACTCTGTCAAACCACCCGATCCTTCTTAGGCCTAGGCTCTTCCCAAAGCATATTAGAGTTAAGCCTCCTAACATCAAGAGTTGCAACAAAGAAGCTATATACTTCCCATCGCAAAGCAAGAATTCTCCTCGAACCCCAGCTCGTATTTATTAGTCTCAAAACTCCAAACATCTGCACTACCCATTACATAAAGCCCTGACCCAAGCAACCCAAAGCGATCCCTTGTTTGGTAAGATCTTCCTCAAAAGTTGAACCACGCACAACTTGTTCCAACAAGCAAGGCTCTTGAGGCCCAAACTCCCTTCGCTCTTAAGAGAGTAGATATCCTGCCAAGCAACCTTCGCACCCGAAGCGAGAGAATCTTGACTCCTCCAGAAGAACCGAGCACATAATTGATCAACTTTTTGAACCACACTATTAGGGAGGATAAGCTGCCTACACCAATAGTTGGCCACGTTGAACAAGACAGAATGAATTAGTTGAAGTCTCCCGAAGCTAATGCGTTTATTAGCCCAATGCCCCAACTTGTCATGAATTTTCTCCAAAAGTGCATGACAATCCTTCTCCGATAAACACCTAGTGACCAAGGGAACATCTAAATATCGAACAGGGAGGCTACCAATCTTAAAACCTATGCAATCCAGAATAGTAGCAACCACCCCAGCCGAGACACTCGGAGTGAAAACCTCACTCTTGGTCGCATTCAATCTAAGTCCATAAATTTCATAAAACTTGTCAATGACACCTTTAATCCCACACAATGAATCAAGATTCCCTTTAGGGGGGGAAAAGCAATCATCGGCAAAATAAAGATGAGTGAGCCCTATCTTTTTACATTTCGGGTGATACTTGAAAATTCCACGCTTAGTAGCCAAGTCTAGAAGCTTAGACAACACATACATAGCAATAATAAAAAGATACGGGAATAACGGGTCTATAAACTAAATGTCATTATTATAAAAATCATCAATAAAATATCATAAAAAATATTCACATAAAAAATAATCATATATAATATAATATGTTGAAATAAAAATTACGTATAATTAAATGGAAATTATGAATCTTATTGACTATTTAAACCCAAAATAGAAATAAAATCACCTAAAAAAGCGACCCGACAAAAGAGAGGGGGAAGACATTTAAAGACATTCAAACTCACCCCTCCATGTTGTTCGCTTGGCCAACTTTTTTCCAATTTCTTTTTCCTTTTAATAGACACCGTCTTAGACCATTTCTGTCTTCAAAAACAGATCTTGCATCCGTCTATTTCAGCAAAGTGTAATACATACCTGTGAGTTTAAGGTACACGATTTCTTTGTTAACGTTTTATTATTGTTGATTCTTGGTGTTCCGATCTGCGTTTCATGATGTGCTCTTTTTCATTTTTGGATTTTGAGGAAGAAGAAAATTGCACAAAGTTTTTAATTAAAAGTTAATGATCTCATTCTTATGGTTAATTTTCTTGGCTTCTTTCTTACAAGTCACCATATTCAAGTTATTAGGCAGTTGAAGTATTCAAAATCCCAAGCTTCGAATCACACGAGCTCATTACATACCTCATTGTGTATTCTCTGGGTTTTCCAAATGCTGGATGCCACTGTTACATTACTCTCTATTCAAATTTGAACCATCATGCTTTTAGTATCATAAGTTTTTGTTCACTTTTTGTTGAATTCCTTTTTTTGGGAATTTGAAGAAAAAGCAGGAAAGATTACATTTGAGTTCGAGTTTGTAGCCAACGGCCTAATTCCAGAAGTTTCAAGAAGTACTGAATTTCAACGTCGAGACAATATGGAGCCAACCAACTAGAATAAAGAGAAGGCTGAGGTAGAATTGGAGCTGGCGATAGAGACAGAAGAACTGAAGCATGAGGAAAAAGAGAAGAAACATGAAGATAAAGATGTTGAGATTCTTCAAAAAACAGATAGAGATGTGAAGGGAGGCGAAGAGAAAGAGAAAAAGAAGGATGAAGATGATGAAGAAGACGGCAAAGAAGGCGAGAGAAATAAAAAATGTAAAGACCCCATCAAGCCTGAGGAAAAAGAGGAGAAACATAGAGACAAAGATAAAGATGTCGAGGGAGACAGAGAAAGAAGAAGGATAAAGAAGGGAAAGAAAAGAAAAAGAAGGATAAAGAGTTAGAAGGTGAAGCAAGAAAAACCGAAGAGAAAAAGAAAAAGAAAACGAGGAAGAATTCTCATTCGTCTTCCTCATCTTCCTCAGATTCTTCTACATCGCCTTCAGCATCATCATCAACTTCATCTTCTTCTGATTCGGATTCAGATTCAAGAAAGAAAAAGAAAGAGAGGAAGAAGAAGAAAAAAGTGAAGGATCACGACACGAAAGAAGAGAAAGAAGGGAAGAAAGACAACGAGAAGAAGAAGAAGAAAAAGGATAAAGATCATAAAGAAGACAAAGGTGAGGGGAAGAATAAATGCAAAGACCCTATCAAGCTAAAACGAATACTAGAGAGAGCTAATAACAGAATAGAAGCCCTTATCGCAAGAAAGGCCTACATCGAAAGGATGATTAAAGAAGCAGAGGAGCAACAGATAAGTGAAGCCACAGTTACCCGTGAAGCTGCAGTTGCAGTCGAGAAGCAGATCAACGAAGCTGCTTCTTCAGAGGTCACTGAAACCGCACCCTAAGTACAGATACACTCCGGCTCCAGGATACCAATATGCTAGACATTTTTGCATTTCGATTTTTCTTCACAAAAACATATAGTGATGAATCCATATATATAATATGCATCGATGTGAAAAAAGAGCAACAAAATTGCAGGAAAGGATTCGTAGTAGTCGAAAATTACTTGAACAAGATATTAATAAGGTTTTGAAGTTGAAATATTTTACAATTGTTATTATGCAAATGCTCAGTCTGACTAACGAACATAAGATATGATCCTCCAAATAGAGAAAAATTAAATATTTGAGGATATACGTATTGGACATATCCGTATGCAACACTAATCCTGAGTCCAGATTACAACAGTCATTACCTGTATTAGCTGTTCATTGCAAACCAGAACACATGCTTTTGGGGCAATAAATAACTGGCTCACTAAGTTCGGCAAGCCATATCCAACACTCGTCTCGAGTCCGGATTAGAGCAACATTACCTGCGTTATAAGGTTGGGGGATATGAATAACATGATTATAAATTCTAGAAATACAAAGATGATCATTACATATATGAAGAACAAAATAAATTCCCATGGCTCTAGAAATAGCGTATCCAATCCAACTAATAACATAAACAACCATAGAGAAATTTCTACTCTATATGTACTGGGATGGTTATCAGTTACTCGAGACATGGATCTGTGTGTTCTAAAGAGCTCAGGGAATAATGTAATTCGAGGTTTTCCATTGAGGGATATATAACACTCCCAACCCGTATTCGACCCGAATACAAGTCTGAGGTGTCACATTGACTTTTCAACTTTGACACTTAAAGAAAACAGGGAAATTTAAAACTTTCATTAAAATAAAAGCGATTTATTTACATGGATTGACCAAAACAATCAAAATCGGTCAGAGCATTCATAACTGACACTTTACTTACATGCCAACATACTATACACGACAAAATACATACTTTATCAGTTAATTCTGATCTGATCCGCTAGCAGTGCTGCTGTTCTTGCCACCATATTTTCGCACTTCCTGATTCTTGGTACCTACGTGTAAATCACTTATACACTAAGTCACAGACTTAGTGAGGCATAACATAAATGTATGTATTCACATGTATAACCATGAATTTATGAACATGCGTTCTTACCATGAATCAAGACATTTCAATGTTCATGTATCGATTACACTATAACATATATGATGATAACATGTACATATAACACATACATTCTCATGCCAATTCCACTTTAATTTATCTTTGGATTGCCCATGTACATTATTGAGAACAAAGGTATGTGAGTACATAGAGGTTGTGAACTATGCTGTCACCACAGCTCGTATAATTCCCTCAAGGGGCACTGAATATTTGTCTCGAAGGACCACTATGTCTCGAAGGACCACTAATTGTTCCGAAGAACCACTATGTCCCTGAATTGTTTCTCTTGTAATGACATTCGTTCACATAATATCATATTGAAGCATCATGAATTATGCATTAAATCACTTTATAAATAATACATGTATGCATGTACATGAATATGAAATCATGAATTCAACTATCAGAGATAGACTTATCACAAGTCTTATCTTTATACACTTTAACTATAAAATGCACTCACCTTGGCCTTGCTTGTTTCAACTTGATCCTAATCCTTTGTTTGTTCCGGAACGAAATTATGTTCTATATCTGCATATTAATACATTGATACTAATCAGTATATTAATTAATATATTCTAAACTATCACTCCTTAGGCTAAAAAGAAAGTTATTTCCAACTTTTAATGATGGTATGCATCGATGCACTACACCATGTATCGATGCATCCCTTGACAGGTGCATCGATGCATAAATCCCATTCGATGTTTGTATTTTAAACGAGTGCATCGATGCACTCCTTATGCATCGATGCACTCCTTATGCATCGATGCACTCCTTATGCATCGATGCATTAATGGTATTCGCTGTTCATTATTTAAGAGTGCATCGGTACACATTGAATGTGCTTCGATGCACACAACCCAGAAATTGTATTTTAAACCCAAAAATCATCAATTCTTCACTCAATTCCTCTATTTTAAACCCCTATCATGTCATTAAACCCAACCATCATTACTTAAACCAACTTATATCCATGAAAATCATCTTTAACCTCAAAATCATAACCTTCATATATAATTCAAGAATCATACCCAAATTTCAATATGTTCTAAATACACTTCTAACACTTCAAATTCCTTGATTAAGTCGATGACAAGTCAAATTCAACCTCCAATTTCAAATATTAACTTTATTTCAAAATTCCCTTTAAGAATTCATAATCTTTAATTCTTCCTACATCCTTCATCTTGTTGGTTTACAACAACCTAAGCTTTCTTTAAGCTTAATTAGTATCTAAGGAGCAAAACCAAACTTAAATTTCAACTAACAAACAACTTATAAGAAATCTCACCTTTGCTATGAGTTTTCACGTTGGGAGGAAAGAAGAGAAGAAGAGAATTATGGAAGCTTATGTTTTTATTCCTTCTTCCACGTGTAGCTAAAATAAATATATCTATTCTTTAATTATTTCCCATGCAAATGACCATTTTACCTTTATATTCCTTCTTCCTTGCAATTTAACCATATATCCATTACAATACTATTCAATTATTATGCTTTAGTCACCAAATTATGAAATTTTACAATTTAGTCACTAACCCGGTATTGAGGCTGTTACAAATCTCCCCCTTAAGAAAAATTCATCCTCGAATTTTCATTATGCGAAGAGATGGGGGGTATTGAATCCTCATGTCCTCTTCACGTTCCCATGTTGCTTCCTCTATCTTGTGATTCCTCCATAATACTTTAACTAATGGAATGGTCTTGTTTCTTAATTGCCTAACCTCGTAAGCTAAGATTTTAATTGGTTCCTCTTCATAAGTCAAATCCGGTTGGACCTCAACCTCTTCTGAAGTCACGATGTGGGAAGGATCAGATCGATACTTCCGAAGCATTGAGACATGAAAGACATTGTGAATTTTCTCTATTTCAAGTGGCAACGTCAGTTGATATGCTACTGGTCCAACTCTCTTTACGATCTCATAAGGTCTAATGAACCGAGGACTCAACTTTCCTCTTCGACCAAACCTTATAACCTTCTTCCAAGGAGACACTTTGAGAAATACTTTATCTCCAATTTGATATTCGACCTCTTTTCTCTTTAGATCCGCGTATGATTTTTGTCTATCAGCTGCTGCTTTGAGATTACTTTGAATTACTTGAACCTTTTCTTCCACTTCTTTAATCAACTCCGGACCAATAATTTCTTTGTCTTTAAGTTCGAACCAATTAAGAGGCGTACAACATCTTCTTCCATAAAGATCTTCATAAGGATCCATTTTGATGTTTGATTGATAACTATTGTTGTACACAAATTTAGCAAGTGGCAAGTACCTTTCCCATGATCCTTTGAATTCAATAACACAAGCTCTCAACATATCCTCCAAAATTTGAATTGTTCTCTCAGATTGCCTATCAGTTTGTGGATGAAACGCTGTACTAAAGTTTAACCGAGTTCCCAACGCTCCATGTAATGATTTCCAAAATCGTGAAGTAAATTTAGGATCTCGATCTGAAACAATAGAAACAGGTACACCATGTAGACGTATAATCTCCTTGATATATAACTCAGCATACTTATCCATGAAAAAGTTAACTCGTACTGGAATAAAATGAGATGACTTAGTCAATCTGTCTACAATAACCCATATCGAATCTCTTTTATTCGGAGTCAAAGGCAACCCTGTTACCAAATCCATTGTTACATTCTCCCATTTCCACTGAGGAATAGACATATGTTGCAATAGTCCTGACAGAACTTGATGTTCAACTTTAACTTGCTGACACATCAAACATTTGGATACAAATTCCGTAATGTCTCTCTTCATTCCAGGCCACCAATATTGACTCTGGATCAGATCCATATACATTTTGTTTCCTCCCGGATGCATAGTCAATGGACTGCAATGAGCTTCCGTTAACAAGTCTTTCTTTAATTCATTATCATCTGTAATTACCAACCTCCCTTGATAATATAAGTTACCATCAGCTTTCATTACATAATCCGTGGTCTCTCCATTCCTTATCTGTTGTAACTTCTTTAAACACTTTTCATCTCCCGCTTGCAATTATTTAATTCGGTCTAGCCATAATGGCTTGAGAGTCAATTCCGCACATATGGCGCCATCTCCTCTTAATGATAGTCTGGCATCCAAAGCTCTTAAGGCTGCAAACGTTTTTCGACTTAAGGCACCGCTACCACATTCGCTTTCCCCGGATGAAAATCAATCACTACATCATAATCCTTTAAGAATTCCACATATCTTCTCTGTCTTAAATTCAATTCTTTTTGAGTCATCAAATACTTTAAACTCTTATGGTCCGTATACAAGTAGCATCGTTCGCCATACAAGTAGTGACGCCAGATCTTAAGAGCGAACACTACTGCAACCATTTCTAGATCGTGCGTTGGATAATTCTTCTCATGCGGTTTTAGTTACCTCGATGCATACGCTACCACTTTGCCTTCTTGCATTAGCACACATCCTAATCCGTTATGAGACGCATCACTGTACACTACAAAGTTCTTGTCAGACTCGGGTTGAATCAACACTGGAGCTTCTGTTAAAACCTTTTTCAGTCTATCCAAACTTTCTTGACACTCCAGAGTCCATACAAATTTTACCTCTTTCCTCAATAATTTAGTTAGGGGTAATGCTATTATCGAAAAGTTTTTAACAAACCTTCGATAATAACCAGTTAACCCCAGAAAACTCCAGACTTTTGACACATTCTTTGGAATTTCCCACTCTAAAATAGCTTTAATCTTTTTAGGATCCACTCGAATTCCTTCAGCATAAATCACATGTCCAAGGAATGTCACTTCCTTCAACCAAAATTCACATTTGGAGAGCTTGGCATAAAGCTTCTTTTCTCTCAAAGTCTGTAGAACTATCTTCAAATACGAACG